CTCCCCCGTAAGAATGTGTCGTTCCTCGCCATACTCGGGCTCCCATGCTCCAGGATTTGGCTGCCATCTCTGCCTCCCTCCATAGACTCCCCTGGATTTTCTTAGGGCTCTGACTCCCCAGGTGGCTAACCTCCTGCACAGATGCCTTCTCACCCAGCCTGGGTTCCAACACTCCCACATCAGGCCACCTGTCTCTGGAGACATTCTTCCCACACTCCTGAAGTTCTAACACCAGTCGGGACATGATCCATGAATGCACTTCCTCCTCCCACTGCCCAAGGGTGAGAGTTCATTCATCTTCCAGCAGGCTTGTTTATTTGTCACCGTTATAAAATCAGGTTAAAATAACAGGGAAACTGAAATGTACATGGAGGGAATTCTGCAACTGAAAACACATCAAGGTATTTACTTCAATGCAGCAGTCTTGACTTACTGAGTTATCAATATGATAACCCATGAAGCTTTCAATTCTCTGAGCTCTAATCCTATGACATTTGTTCAAGTAGCGGAGGTTTGGTAGACAGCATGGGATTCTGAAGCCAAAAAGACAGAAGCTGCTCTTCCTCCCTTCCCAAGATTGTGGAATGATTTATCAGCGTCCCAGATGATATCAAGAATTCAGAATGTACCTCAAAGCCTCCTCCATGTTAGCAAAGTCATCTGCTGATTCTGTTTTTATTCTTAAACAAGTCTTCAGATGTGCCAGATCTTCTCTTATCACTGAGTGGCTCATGTATTGAGCAGTTCTTTGCCCAGTATTTACTTGAACGATTCAGATCACCCTGGCACAGCGATGATGGCACACTGCATTTGTCTCTGCTGTTTTCTCCAACTTTCAAGAATCTGTAGGCAATTTAAATGGTGTGGAGGATGCCATTGACATGGTGCCTTTCTGGCTTCCACTCTCAGCTCTTGATCCCCATCTCAACTTTCAGCTTTTCACCAGAGGCAGGATTGTATGCAGGAAAGAACGTGGGTTTTGGAGGCAGTCAGATATAGTTTGAAATCTGTTGAAGTGAAGCTTCATTAACTTATCTGTAGAATAGTGTCAAAAGTTATACGCATTTTGCTAAATTTCTGTGAGGATTTGGGACAACATCAATATAATGGGGAACATAATTTCACCATTTTGTATGTGCTTTTTTTTTTTTTTTTTTACTTCCCGCTTTCCAAGTACATGGCCTTGATTCTAGTACATTCAAGGCACACATCAGCCTGAGAAAGGGGGATGATTTCTATAAAAGGAACACAAAACAAAATTAACAAAAAACAGTGCAACAGTTAATATTGAATTTCTGTCATTAAAACTATGATTTATGTTCTATCAAAAAGATACAGGCACTACCATGTTCATCACAGCACTATTCACAATAGCAAAGACGTGGAATCAACCCAGGTGCCCATCAACGGTGGACTGGACAAAGAAAATGTGGTACATATACACCATGGAATACTATGCAGCCTTTAAAAAGAATGAAATCACGTCCTTTGCAGCAGCATGGATGCAGGTGGAAGCCATTATCCTAAGGGAATGAATCAACCCAGAAACAGAAAACCAAATACTGCATGTTCTCACTTATAAGTGGGAGCTCACGCCTGTAATCCCAGCACTTTGGGGGGCTGAGGCGCGCAGATCACCTGAGGTCAGGAGTTCGAGACAAGCCTGGCCAACGTGGTGAAACCCCGTCTCTTCTAAAAGTACAAAAAACAAATTAGCCAAGTGTGGTGGCACTTGCCTGTAGTCCCAGCTACTCAGGAGGCTGAGACATGAAAATCACTTGAACCCAGGAGGTGGAGGTTGCAGTGAGCAGAGATCACGACACTGCACTCCCTCCTGGGCAAGAGGCAACAGAGTGATACTCGGCCTCAAAAACTAAATAAATAAAGTAAGTGCAAGCTAAACATTGGGTCCTCATGGACATAAAGATGGCAACAATAGACATTGGGGATGATTAAAGGAGGCAGGGTTAAAAAAACTACCAGTTGGGTACCATACTCAGTACCTCACAGCACAAACCTCAGCATCATACAATATACCCAGGTAACAAACCTGCACATGTACCCCATGAATCTTAAATAGCAATTGAAAAATTAAAAAAAAAAAAAAACACCTTAGTTGAAAAAGACAAAACATTCAGAAGTTTAAAAACAGAAGAAGTGTACTTTTAAATGGAGCAAAACAAAGGCCTATTGGGTGAGGATTTTGCCCTCAAAAAAGATTAGCTGAATTCATTTTTTTTTTTTCGTTAGCATCGTGTGTTAAACTGTAGAGTTTTATGTAAGGCACAAACAGCAGAAAGAAGAGGAAAGCAACTTGCCCTTTTCCAGCCCTGAAACAGAAACGTAAAGGTATAGGGAGTAAGAAGGGAGAATTGGATGGAAGGAGAACCACGCCCGATTTCTCCCTGCAAAGTGTGTTGTGCATGCTGAGTTCATGGACTCTTGTCTTGTGGCTTATTGAGTCCCAGGAGGGAGGATACCTCCCAAGCAGCCTCATACCAAACAGAACATCGTCCACCACAGTCAGGCAGAGAAATGCCTGGGAGTTGAGCTCCTCAGCTCCTCTTCCTTTCTACTAGGTAAGGACACTGAGTCCAGGGCCAGCGGGGCTGCTGCAGGGCTGTTCGGATAAGGCAAAGTGATCCACAGCAGAGGCTGAGGATACATCATCTGGCCAGGTGACCACATGGAAGAGAAGGCAGGTTCAGGAGTCAGCAGGCAGTGAGACAGGAGGAGACCCCTGGTCAGCTTGTGGAGGTGACTGGTGCAGCCCAGAAGCATTGCCCAAAAAAATGGCCCACGTGTTCACGAGCCCAAAACAGCAGGGTTGGAAGCAGTTGATCAAGGGACATCACCCTGGTGGCCAGCAGATGTTGCCAGATCACACCCCAAATCCAGCACGAGATCAGGGTCCCCCTTTACCCCAAACCCAAGAGGCTATGTGGTCTCTCCTCAGCGCCTTCTCTGCCAACTGCACCATCTTAGAGAGGAAGAGGGGGTATTTGGAGAGATCCCTTTGCTCTCAGCTTATTTCTTCATTCTCTTACAATTTTTATCTAAATTAGATTTTTTTAGTCCAAAAAGTATTGTTTAATTTTCTTAGGTTGGGTTGTTTAAACCATGATAAAGATTTAACTTCTGCTTCATCCCCCAGAGAGTAGAGGAAAGGTGCATCTGTGAAAGGTCTTCCAGTCTATGAAGACTAAAGTTGTTCATACCTGACTTGTTCCCACGACGCTTTTAGGTACAACTCAGTCCCAGTGACTTCCACCAAAATAAACAGCCAAGAAACTGAAAACAGGGCCTGAACACAGCCAAGTCATGTTCCAAGAATGGTTATTAACGTCCCATCTGTCCCTGCATCTTTCAGCCAACCATGAGTATGCCACTAGTGGCCAAGGATAGGAGTCCGGGGAGGGCCCGTGAGTTCCATTTCCTTCTTTGTTGATCATACCCAGTGAATACACCTGTTTTCCATTTTTAAGGACCTGATGTTAACAGCCTTGAATTTCATTAAAACAAGAGAAAGTATTAGGGAAGTTTTGCATGTGCTAATCTAAGACTTTCTGCTACTCTGGTCATGGTAGGACAGCAATACCAGCCATTTCTCATTCCCATGTGTCCCAGGAGATGACAACAGGGAAAAGCCTATTATATACCATATCTGAGCAGACACTTAGCTTTTGATTTTTTTTATTTATGCATTTATTTTTATTTTATTTATTTTTTGTGGTGGGGGGAGCGGTATTACCCTGTCACCCAGGCTGGAGTGAAGTGGTAGGTCTGGCTCATTGCAACCTCTGCCTCCCGGGCTCAAACCATCCTCCCACCTTAGCCCCCTGAGTATCTGGGACTGCCAGCACATGCTACCACACCCAGCTTATTTTAAAATTTTTTATAAAGATGGGGTTTCACCACGTGGCCAGGCTGGTCTCAAACTCCTGGGCTCAAGCAATCCACCTGCCTCGGGCTCCCGAAGTATGGGGATTACAGGCGTGATGAGCCACTGCACCCGGTCTACACTTACTTTTTTAAAAGAGCCTTGAGCTCAAGTTTGGATTAAAGGAGGAAAACAAATCATAAGGCAAAACAGGAGAGGAAAGTGCACCACCTGGAACTGTATGATAAAACATCAGTGATTCAGCCTGGGAAGGTGCCCTGCCAAAATAGCGTTTCCAATGTGCTTGGAACATAATTTGTGTTTAATTTTAAATGAAACTGATTAGAAGTGTATCTATATTTTATTTACCAACAAGGCCAAATGACTCACTAGTGTGAGCTGTGTGTCTGCCCAAGCTTTGCAGGTGCCAAAGTCTATATAAAAAGATTCCTAATTTGGAAGAGACAATGGGAATTTTCCGACTGGCAGCTCTCATCTTGGTTAATTAGATGGTATTAAGAAGAAAAAGGTTGGCCACGTTATGTTGAAGAAAGTATTATTAGAGATGGCAGTAGATCCTAAAACATTTAATACCCTGTGTTCTGGTCTCCAACGTGCCATCTGGAGTAGTTACTTAGGGAAAATTACAACAAATTGATAGAAATATTTTAAAAAACTGCCTCAACTAACAAAAATAAAAGCTCTCTTGATGAAAAATAGCATTTTAAGTGTAATTTGTGAATCATGATTTGACAGATGACGAATATAGGTTTTAAAGTGTCACAAGACTTGTGTCTCTCTTTAGAATCACCACCACATATGTACTATTAAAACACAAGGACCGGAAGTGTTGGCTCACGTCTGTAATCCCAACACTTGGGGAGGCTGAGACAGGTGGATCATCTGAGGTCAGGAGTTTGAGACCAGCCTGGCCAACATGGTGAAACCTCATCTCTACTAAAAGTGCAAAAATTAACTGGATATGGTGGCGCATACCTGTAATCCCAGCTACTTGGGAGGCTGAGTCAGGAGAATTGCTTGAACCCAGGAGGCGGAGGTTGTGGTGAGCCAAGATTGCTCCATTGCACTCCAGCCTGGGAGACAAGAGCAAGACTTTGTCTACAAAAAAAAAAAAAAAAGTCAAGTAACTTCTCCAAGACCCATTTAAAACACACACAACCTATTTGAATGGCCCACATCAAGAACATTGACAACACCAAGTGCTGGTGACGAAGTGGAGCACCAAGAACTCTCTTTGCTGGTGGGAATGCAACATGGCACAGACCCTCTGGAAGACAGTTTGGAGATTTCTTACAAAACTAACCATACTCATCATATGATCCAGCAATCATGTGCCTTGGTATTTACCCTAAGGAGTTGAAGAGTTGTATTCACACAAAACCTGCACGCAGATATTTATAGCAGCTTTATTCCTAATTACCAAAATGAGGCAGCAAGCAAGATGTCCTTCAGTGGGTGAATGGATACATAAACTGGGTTACATCCAGACAATCGAATATTATTCAGTGCTAAAAAGAAATGAGCGATCAAGCCATGAAAAGAGATGGAGGAAACTTGCATGCCTATTACTAAATGAAAGCAATTAATCTGTAAAGGCTATATACTGTATAATTCCAACTATATGACATTCTGGACAAGGCAAAACTAGAGACAGGAAAAAGATCGGCAGTGTGGTTGCCAGGGTAAGGCAGGAAGGGAGGAATGAACAGGCTGAGCACATTTTTAGGACAGTGAAACTATTCTGTAGGATACTATAATGACAGATACATGTCACAGTCCACAGAATGAACAATACCAAGGGTGAACCATAATGTGAACTACGGACTTTGAGTGATAATGTTGGGTCAATGTGGATTCATCAGTTACAAGAATTGTACTACTCTTGTGGGGGATGCAGATGCTAGGAGAGGTTATGTGGGTCCTAGGGCTGGGAGTCTACAGTTTATCTCTGTACATTTCCCTCTGTTTTACTGTAAGCCTAAAACTGCCCCCAAAAAGTTGTCTTTAAAAAAAAAAAAAAAAACAGCTATCAACTCACAAATCTCATACATATTTTTCTTTATTTTCTGGCTTAAACAAGGAAGGAATATTCTGATGATTACTTACTTTGGTTTTAAAGTCCCAGATGAAGAAAATTATATTATGACAACCTTGTTTCAGAAAGCTTCTCATGCTCTCTACCAATTAGATTAGGATAAGCAGAAAGACTGAAAGGCGTAAGACATGGTTCTCAGAAATAATAAACAACAGTGAACACACCTGCTATTTACTTACTTCTTGCCAGGCGCTACAAAACACCTGATGGAAAATGAGGGAAAAGTGCTGGTCTCACAAAGGTCATTTCAGCTTTATCTGGGCCCACTGGCAAGTAAATACCAGCAGAATCCTTTTGGACCAAGGACAGAAATATGGTAACTTTACAGTGAAAGCTTTCCATTTTTCCCTTCAGAAATGTCTTTTTTTTTTTTTTAATAAGTGGGGCAAAATAGAGGTTAAGAGATAAAACTTTCTTGTAACATGATTCATTTCTGGTTTTGCTAACAGAATTGCTCATCATTTTCTGTTTCAGAAAAAGCATTTTATCATTCTGAAGTCTAGAGCGTGCTTGGAAAAGAGGAATAGTTCTAACCTCAGACTCATAATTTTGAAGCATAGATTCTTAGTCATATCTAGTTATGTTTTGAAATTCAGTTCTCTTATGAGTAAATAAATAGGGTTTGGAATGTTTTGTTGACAAAAAGAAATGGTAATACAGGATCACAGTGTCTTTTAAAGTTAATGATCATGTGATAGCACACTGCAAAGAAAAAAACTCAGATAAAACACAAGAAATAAAGATAAATGGAATATATTTTGGCATAGCCAAATTATCTGCTACAAAGAAGAGTTGCTATGCTTTAGGTGGAAAATAAATGAGGAACATTCTGTCCAAAACAAAACTTTTTGAAGAGAATATATTTCATTGAAAAGTTTTTCAAGTGTGGTTGAAGGTATTACCTAACTTTATGGATCCATTTAAAAATGCCTACGAAAGAACCCTGTGGACTCCCTTGCCTTTTCTGTACCATATTTAGGATCATAGATCATTCATTCTGAAGGGGGGAAAAAACCCATACCTAGCTGGTACAGGATAATCCCTTGATCAGGAAGGTAATTAAGCAGCTTCGAGCTGGATTCCATAGTGCCAGTGACGTAGCCCCTAGTGTTTACCCTAACACACCTCCTGGCTCCATTACAGTAGTCATATGCAGAGTCCCCAGGCCTCCCTACTCCCACCTTTGGGCAACTCAGGCACTGTGACACAAATGTTACTCCATAGCCAAAAGCACTCCATAGTTAGTGAGGGTTCTTTTTAGGGCTTGGGATGCCATTTAATGCAAAATGTACTTTGATATCTTCAAAGATTAAATGCTCTTTTATCACTGATGTCAAAGTTTGAAGACATTTAAGAGCGCTTATGATCTGGTCTTATCATCTCTTTCCAGCTTTTCTACAACTCCCTCTCCCATTATCCCACACTGTTACACAGCTGGAATACTAGGGTGTGTTTTTGTTTTTTGTTTTTTGTTTTTTCTTGTTTGTGTGTTTGCTTAATGCTTCCACATAATTTGTTTCATTTGCAAAAATCTGCTTCTCCTCTAATTCTGACTATTTATGTCTCATCCACCCTTCCTCCAAACAGCATTTAAATGGCATTTCCTCTGTGAAGTTTTCCCTGGATCTCTGTCAACTCCTGGCTACACATAATCTCTTCTTTCCTTTTGCATTCTTGTTGCAGTTAGCTAGTACTTCTCTTTTAGACAGATGATCATATTCTAGTTCACATTTGTTATCTGAATGCAACTCTTATTTTCTCTAATAATAATAACAACAATAATAGCATCTACCATTGTTTTGAGGGCTCACTATTGGGCCAGCACTACCTAACTGGTGCTTTATTCCTCACAGTAACTCTATCAAGCAAGTATTACAATATCTGTTTTACAGATGCACAAACTGAGGCTTAGAGAGCTTAAAGCAGTGTCCAAGGCCACCGAGCCACCGTGTGCTGGGATTCAATAAGTCCCCAGTCTAACTCTAGAGCCTATTATCTCAGCCACTGCTATATTGCTAGATCCTGAAGTTCTGTAAAGGAAAAGGGTGGAAACTCACATTTACTGAACACCTAATCTCTGCCTGGCACCGCAGCAGGAACTTTCATGCATATTATCTGATTTATCTGTGAGTGAGATGGTATAATCCACATTTCGCAACTGAGAAAACCAAGCTTCACCATCAATACATATGTTTTAAAGGGAGCTGACTGGATTAAGATATTTGTGGTGCATATAACTGGTGAAAGATTGATAATCAGAATATATAAACATGTCCTACAAGTTAATGAGGAAAATAATAGCTACCCTGTAGGGAAGTGAGCAAAGGAGATGAACGGGCAATTCATCAAAGAAGGAGGCAGAATGAGCCAAAATCTATGAAATGGTGCTTAGCTTTACTAGAATTAAGATTAGGCAAATACAAATTTAAACAATGAGAATATAATTTCTTTTTTTTTTTTTTTTTGGAGACGGAGTATTGCTCTGTCACCCAGGCTGGAGGCAGTGGCGCGATCTCGGCTCACTGCAAGCTCCCCTCCCGGGTTCACACCATTCTCCGCTCTAGCCTCCCAAGTAGCTGGAACTACAGGCCGCCCACCCACCAACACTCGGCTAATATTTTGTATTTTTAGTAGAGATGGGGTTTTCACTGTGTTAGCCAAGATGGTCTCGATCTCCTGACCGGTCGTCCGCCCCGCTCCGGCCTCCGAAGTGCTGGGATTACAGGCGTGAGCCACTGCGCCTGGCCAAAAACAATTTTACTCATCAAAATGACAAAAATTTAAATATCTAATGTCCCCAATGTTAAGTAATGAGAATTTTCACACACTGGGAAGTGGGAATACAAATTGATAAAGCCATTTTGAGACCAATTTCCACTCCACATACGAAGAAGTGAAACTGGAGGTTTGAATTGTCCCAGGTAAGTACAAGTGTGTTCGCTCCAGTATTGTTTAGAAAATGGAAAACTATGATATTATAGTATAATGGAATGTTACTAAGACAAAGAGAATAACCCATATGCATCAAAAATAGAGAAATCTTGATAGCATAATGTGATGACCCAACTAGAAGGACTTTCTGTGAACCAGAAAGTGGACTCTCACCAGAAATCAAATCTGCTGGTGGTGTGACCCTGGACTTCCAGGCTCCAGAACCATGAGAAATAATTTCGTGTTGTTTTTTTTAAGTTGCGAAGTGTTAACCACCTGGCCAACATCAGCACCCTGCGAAATACAAAAAAATAGCCAGACATGGGTGGCGCATGCCTGTAATCTCAGCCACTCCGGCAGCTGAGGCATGAGAATTGCTTGAACCCAAGAGTCAGAGGGTTGCAGTGAACCGAGATGGCGCCACTGCACTCCAGCTGGGCAACAGAGGGCCACTTTGTCTCAAAAACAAAAAAAAAAAAAGAAAGAAAAATCCACCACAACCCACCACAAAAACCCACTTATGGAAGCAGAAGAGGAGAAGAGCAGGGAGCAGCCAGTCCTGAAGACATCATCGCTCTGTATTTACACCTGGTTCTCACAGTCCCGAGAACATCCTGATTATTTGGGGGCCTATTTTTAAAACAAATGAACTCATGGATTCAATGTCTGTTCTTCATGCCACTTAACAAAATGCATCTGTGTTATGTTTTCATTTGATGAAACAGGAGATGAGTTCCCTTGGCTCCCAACTGTTGATGTTTGTACTGGATGGCATCTGGCTTAGTCTCACCATTGCCGTCTAAGAGCTACTGCAAATCCAAGAACGCTGGTGCCCAGAATGGTGAAGCGCAAATTTTCAGTCCACAATTCTTCAAAAAGAAAATTTGCCCACCTCCATCACTTGACTAAGTGACAAAATGATGGTATCCAGGCAACCATCTAGTGGAAATGCAAGTTTAAGTCTATGGCCTAAACTACAAAACTGCCCTGACTTTGTATTAGGAGTTAGCAAGAGCGCAACAAGTTTTAACAAGATCTGAACAGACTGGAGGTTGAATTGTATAAACATATTTTGGTGCCAAAAGAAAACACTGTCAAGTGGTTTGAGCACCCTCAAAGAATAGACGGTTTGAGTATATATTTAAGCGGGAAAGGAGAACCTAGTACCTCTCCTGAGGGGTAGGGTTGGGGAAGGTAGTAATACCTGGTTTAACATTTTCAAACTCTTTTAAAATTCGTTTGCCATTTTATTTGTATTTTGATTTAAATTTATGTTTGTTTGTTCTACCTCTTTCAGTAAAATTTAGTACAAATAAACATAGAGAAATTTGGAAGGTCCTTCTGGAAAGTACTTATTTCAACCCTCTCTCAGCCCATCCTGTGAGGTTCAGGGGATAAAGTCTTCCATCCTCTAGCCAAAGAAGAGGACCCATCAAAAATTATATGTAAGCCTTCTATACTGATTTCTGTATGATAAGACTTAATTTGAACAAGGACTGTATTATTGAAAAAAAAAGGTTGCATTCTGGTGGCAGGGAAAAGACTATATATTGGAAGCGGCAATCTGATCTGAT